ACGCCTGACTGGTTTATTACGTAATGTGCATACTGGTCACAACAACATTTACATGAAGCTAAGAATCATTGTTTGTATTGTGCATGTGAATCGTTTAATCATTTACATTCTACATATAAGAATACTCAACTTGGCTTCGATACATTTTTTTGGTTGTTAAATGATGGATTAAATAAGTCAACGAAAACAAATATTTCAATTCAAAATCTATTACTAGGATTTATAATTTGAACCAGAGTTAAAACAACAAATGTTTCATTTTTCAAAGAGTAATCTTTCGTCCTCTACAATTGCAATCACATCAGCAATAAGTTTCATTTCAAAATCAAAAATCAAATTTCAAAACTCGCTAATCTCTTCAACCCTAATAAGGTGCCACATAATGGGTCTCACATTTCTCATAAACTTCATTTACCTGTCTTTAATAATAGACATAATTTCCAGCGCCTTGAGTACCTAATTGTTGGTAGATACGTGCGCTTTATAAGACTCCAGTATTATAGTGTCTCATACAAAATGAGAAAAGTTCACTTACTTAACATCTGAATAATAGTTATAATAATACTCAAAAAAGAATATTTGAATGACTTTTTAGAGTATAACTTGTGAATCAGTGTAAATGCTCAAAATGTGTGCAAAGAGTGAACTGTGATCTCAAAGTTTAAAGATTTTTTTTTGTGTACATCAAATTTTGAATATCATTATACACTTTTTAGTTTCTTATGGTTACAATTATACGTACATCCCACTGTCACATTAAAAAGTCACGTATATGAGCATTAGTAAATAACCAGAAAGGGATGCACCGAATTAAAGAGAAAACCTTGCCAAAAGTCAAGATAGGACTGGTACCAAAGACCCTGATTTATAATTTACACCACAACTAAAAGAACATTTTTTTCAAAGAGTAATCTTTCGTCCTGTACCAATCACATCAGCAATAAGTCTCATTTCAAAACCAACTTTCAAAAGTCTATAATTTCTGCTAAAATGAGTAGAGTTCAATAACTGAATATTTTGAATACTACATTTTTTTTGAATATTTGAACAATCGTTAATGCTCCGAAATTTTGTGCAAAGTGAACTGTGATCTTGAAATTTGAAGAAAACGTTTTTTAATATACATTAAATTTTGAATATATACATTTTTTTAAAAGTGTAATTATTTATACTCCCCTCTGTCACATTAAAAATGCACGTAGGAGCATTAGTAAATACCAAGAAACTGACCTGCCGAATTAAAGAGATAACCTTGCTTACAATCAACATACGACTGGTTTTAAAGTATAACTGGTGAAAAATTATTAATGCTCAAATTTTGTCAAAATTGAACTGTGATCGTGAAATTTGAAGTTTTTTCTCTTTTTAAAAATATGTACATGAAATTTTGAATATACACACTTTTTAGTTATTTAAAAAATTATATTCTGTCACATTTCACAGGCACATAGCAGCATTAGTAAATACCTAGAAACGGACCTATCGATTTGAAGAGAAAACAATGCTCGAAGTCCAGATAGGATTCGTACCAAATACCCTGTGAAATTATTCCGCCTGAATGGAGAAAAAACACTTCACTGAAGATGTTGTTGAAGTATGAACCCGCAGGCACACTTTTCACAATTGTAATTAGCAACGGAATCCAGGTAAGAGACCCCAACATGTGCAAATGTTTTTCTCTGTTTTTCAAGAATATAATATCAGTCACTGAGCTAAATCGTAAACGGGTAATTTCTCATGCACCCTACTTAAGATTCTTGAGCAATGTTATCGCTTTAAATGATAAACATGGACAAAACGCAGATGATGGGCCTGCAAGGAAGAACTTGTTTTTTTTTCCCGTATGGAGTACAATGCATTTTATAGGCTATCCTTCACAATGGATAAAGCAACAGTTTCCGGTATGAATTGTGTGTCTTGAGATTTAGGATTTCCCAGCGTCAAAATGTATCGATGCAAAGCAGCAAACTGTTTTTATTCATGAAGCGTCCGATCGATGACACTACCAGTTCATTGTTGTTGATCCCGACATCGAAAGGCCCACATCCACGCCCTGTTCATAGGCTGATGTCTAGTCGCGCCGCACAGGTTGCTCAGACTCCTGCCATCATGGGCAAGTCAGGAAATAATTGGAGTTTTTGTTTAATTTCTTTCTTTAAAATCACAGTTACGGATTACAACATTGTAGATTCTTTTATAATGTCTTTAAGTCAATTTGCCCCTAAAATTAATGCAAAGCAAAGAAATCTTTTAACTTCATTAGCTGAGATGACCGTATTTAAATGATGACAGTATCTTCATCATCACAGGCGCGGTTCTAAAGGGGGGCGCCTGGGGGCTTTAGCCTCCCTATAATTGTGTCTAGCTCCCCCCCGAAACCCCCCCCCCCAAAAAAAAAAACCAATCCACAAAAAGGTGACTTCACATGCGAACGGTCGTGAGAAGGGGGCATTTGTACCCTTTAAGGTAATACAGTGTGCATGGTTGTAGGTTTTTATCCGCGCTCCCCATTGAAAATACATGCCCCACCTAATTGATTTTCGGAGGCCTAAGTATTCGGAGAAAATAACCGGTCTATATTTCAGCACGCCTCCCTGTAAACAAATGCTGGATCCACCCCTGCTAGCCCCCCCCCCCCTAGTCTCCGCGCCTGTTTGCAAGTAGGGAGGCTGTGTCAAGACTAGGGGTTGTTTCGGTAAACACTTGTTGAAAAACCTGAAAGGACATCGTCACAGCTCATGGATATTCAAATGTGATTAGCACAATGTGATACCTCTCAAATGCAAACAGTGCCTTCCCGTAGGTATAGGAAGCCTTGGGAACAATTTGATCAATCATGAGGTGTGACGATGTCACATTGGTTGTTCTCGAACAGAGCCTTCTCAATATAGACCTTGATTTCACCAATAATTAACTCACCATCGTCAACTGCATCCTCTGCGTAGCCAGGTGTGTCAGGCGACTCGGTAGTCGGGATTCCAGCCGTCTGTTCTCCCCGTGACTCGGACGCACTGTCCCGGTCTACTGCGATTTCATTTCCTGGCCGATGATGACGGCTGGGGCGTTTCTCTCGCACTCGCCTCTTGAGAAACCACCCCCAGACAAACTGCGTGTTGTACAGTTTTGAATAAAGACATGTATAGATGGGTGGTATTTGGGCACCAAAGTTTCCCTACCAAAATAGTTTTTAAGGCGCAGTTTTGTTTACATTTTTAGTTCAATATTATGTCCATGGAATATCAGCATCTTCGGTACAGATTCTGGTCCATGTTGAGTTGGTAAAATTCACTCAAGAATTTCACACCAACTTTTGACGTTATGACTCGTCGGCATGAAGTGGATGTGGAAATGACCTAAGTAAATTGCCTTAGTTGTCCGTGAAGTGCTTGGATGCACTCGACATTATTTCAACATTTTTATCGGTAATTTACCTTAACCTACCGGAAATATAACCTTAATTGATTTAACTTTCCAGAAATATAATTGATATAACTAACGATGGTTTAAGGGTTTTACTCTCTCAAGATGAAAAGCATAGTGGTAATAGATGTAATTGTATTTTCCCTTTAACTAGCCATGCACACGTTGACAAACCAACAGGCTTGTAACAGTAGGTCTATATCGGTGTTTTTGTACGCCGTTCGCGTTGAGAACGCGCACGGCACGCAGCTGCCGTAAACAATTAAACGGCCCTTGCGCGCATTCTTGATATCAACCTCGTCCCCGACGTCCGAATTACTTGACTATGGCTGTGTAATTTCTAGCTGCTTTCCATAAAAACTGGATAATGATCTGGCCTTTTAAACAAGCCTATGATCACTTAAAGTATAGATATAGGCCTACATGCTCGTTTATCCATTTGATTTAATTATTGAGTGTTGTGACGCTCTAATGGGTTTCTTCGCGTGAAATCTTTCCGGTATCTTGGCGGAGTGGATATTTTCCGACAAAGGTATCAATATTTGTTATCCCCTCATACACACCTAGCCTTCTATCTCATCAGGTGTATAATGTGGTCCATCGAACGGAAGAATTCAGTTTTGCAGGTTTTTTGTTGCTGCAAATCGACACTGTTTAGTACGAATCGAGCTAACATTACAACATGATTTTGGTGAATGTTTTCGTGGTTGTGAATGCCAGTGCAATGGTGGGAGCGTATTTGGGCCCACGGGTGTGAGTGCCGGTACAAGATGAGGCACTGGCTTGCTCTCCAAATTGGGAAGTATTCGGAAATTTCCGTTTTCGCCTCTCTGGTAATGATCGTAAAGGTTCCTGGCAGGAAACAATTGACGTGTTTCGAAATCTGGGAGGGGAAAATGGCAGCTCCGCAATCATCTGAGAATGACTGCTTTGCGACACACCGAGAGTCTGAGATGTTCTGGATAGCGTGCACCTTGAATTCACTGGGTGTTTGGGTGTGGGACGGTCGGGACCAGGCACACAGACGGACTTCCGTGGATGGGACAGCGATGAACCACCGCGTGAGTCCAGACGTTCCTGCGCTTAAATAAAACTAAGTGATCAACAGCCAAAGTGGCACGACCAACCATGCGATAAAGATGCTAGAGCTGTCTGTGTTCGACCAGTCGTCTGCCGTCTATCAGGCAACTCCAGGAGCATGCAGAACACATCGCCGCATCCGTCGGGATACTCGCATCCAGCTCACCGGCACCGAGCTGATGGGACCGCGATGGGCCAGTCGCGGTGCCTCACCGCGCACGTCATCGATGAGTTTGCGGTCCAAAGCGTGAATGGTTGTGCCGCACGCTGCACCGCTGAGCCTGAGTGTCTCTCCCTCAACATCTTGAGCCTTGGAGAAGAGTTAATGTGTGAACTGAACGATAAAGATTTTTTTAAAATTAATGCTAGTAATTATAATATTAGCATAACTCATAATAAAATAAAGTTAGAAAATAGTTCAAGGTCATTTGTTAAAACTAAATAAAAGGATGAAGGTGAGAAATAATTGTGAGGCGAGAATTTTTATATATGAAACAAATAAATGTAAGTAATCTTTTTTTTATTTTTAAAATAAAGTGCATAATGAGATGTCGACAGGTTACAGATTTCCGAAACAAAATTGGCAATTTCTTCTATATACACATACCGTACAACCACTAACACGTGGAGTTCAGTTCAATAGTATTAGCTTTCCAGTGCATGCATCATAATAATGGCAAATACAACGCCACCAGTCGCCCAAAACGGGAGAGTTAGGCTCCTCCCATTCACCCCCCTTTTTTGGGAAATAGAGTCTACCATTTCTGGAAAACATTTTTCCCCATGTTTTATGAGTGAGATCGCCGTGAGATTTTGAAGCCCTTTTGAAATGGGAATATTTCGACTAGTCGCGAAAACGGCAGCCCCCACGGCATAGTTTTCGAAGCGATCTTTTCATGTCTTCACGAAACCGGCGGCTGACGAAGCTAAACAACACGGGGTTGGCTGCGTTGTTGACCAGGTTCAGGTACGAGGCCACGTTGACTAGGAACCGAAATGCCTCGTTGTGTGCTAGCAGCGGTAGGATGAATGGGTAGGCCAACATTACGATACACACTGGTACGAGTGTGACGATGAAGACTATGGTAGACAGAAGCAACATCAGCGTGGTTTTCTTGTAGAATTGTGGGGCATTTGATTGGTCGCTTGCGGTCCCAGTGGCTATATTTGTGGCTTGAGGTGATGGGCTCGCAAGCGAAGTGTTATTACGAGTTATTGTGCTACTGATGCTGGGTGCAGTGGGTTCGGTAGGCGGTTTCAGAATTGGTAACTCCTCCATCTGATGCTCGGCGTTCCACGCAGAGGTTCTCGGTTCAGGTTGTGGTTGATGAGGCATCACTCGAGCTTTCAGCTCATCTACCGATTTGTCTTGTTGAATTTCAGGATTGGTTTTACGGGAGGCCGCGGCTATTAGGCGGTTGGGGGTGATACCTCCCGCCCGGGCCGTTGAATCGTCGTGAAATACACAGGACGGTGCATACGAGGCACCGCGGTGAACGGTATTCCCTGGACGCACCTTAGCCATCCGGTTGACTTTCCGGTAGATCTTGACGTACAACACCACGATGATTACAAACGAGATAACGAAGGAAATCATGAGGGAGATAAACGCGGTAGCGATTACCGCAGGCGGAACGAGGAACTGACAAGACGTGGTGCCCTCGGGAAGTGGCGCAACTCCGTACATGAACAGATACGAGAGCGTGACGACCACAGACACAGCGAAGCAGGCATAGACGGCATGGCGGGCCCGTCGCACGGTCATCCGACGCCCATGCGGCCGGCAGATGGCCAGATAGCGGTCAACCGCCACGACCGTGGTCAGAAGTATGGACGTATACTTCGGCCAAACGTCAATACTGGGGGGCACGCGGCAAAAGAATTGACTGGTCGCCCTAAACGTGTCAATTGGCGGGAAAAGTTGGACCAGGGCTATCATCCGCAAGAGACAAACCGTGAAATCAGCAACGGCCAGTCCGATGATGAAGACATGAGGTGTGACCTTTGTCCTCTTGGACGCGTACACGTGGATGATGAGTAGGTTGCCAGGGACACCGATCAAGAAGACAGCGCCCTCCAGAGTGACCCGAAACCACCACACAGAATCCAGATACATATCGCCGTCGAGCAGAAGCCACAACCTGGAAAACGGAAATTTTTTTTTTATTTAATGACAAATATTTGTTTTCTATAATTATGGCCCGATATCTAGTTTTCTGCTGGCAAACAGTAATACAGAACTCCTACACAACTGAAAATTATTACGTCACATTTGCCGAGAGAGGGTGCTATACAGGGTGGCCCACGAAACTTGAACGGACCGGCAAACTCAAACCACTTGCTCCAAAGGATGGAGAATCATTTTGAGAAGAAATATGATACCAAGATCTCCTGATTTGGTCCAGTCGGTCTTGCTGCAGAGTTATTTTGTGAAGCCCACATCTTTCATGTGGGTATTATTACATGACAAAAATTAAACCCTCTATCCAATTAAGTCACGCGGTTTGGTAATTCATTGGGACAAAAATGACCACCAACTTTGTTTTACAAAGTAGGCTCTAGAACCAACAAATTCTGGAACGAATCTTTGAACAGAATTTCCCATACATTAGTATAGGTTGTTAGAGTCTCTGGGTAGCGGAAGTGCACCGTTCCGTTTTTTTTCTTTTTTGGGGGGGGGGGGGAGGGGGCACCCTGTATAGGATGCAAATTAGAAAGGACTATAGACATTTAACACATAGACTGGTGGATGCGTGTGTGTGTGGGAGAGGGACAAGACCTCTTGACGTTAGAGGGCACTCTTTGTTGTTATCACTTTATTCATAAGTTTATGAATCCGTAAGGGAATTTAGTATATTAAGGTAAAAGCTAGTCATCTTCGTTCTTGTCTTGGTTGTAATACTTAAACAAGACGTTTCTTTGGCGAGGGGCAAATTCAGAATCTTCGTGGGGGCACCTGTGGGCAGCTCTGGGCACTGGGGATAAGTGGGTTTCCCCACTCCCCCCCCCCCCCCCCCAGCGTGGCTACGCCATCGCAATAGCGGTGCCTAGCTAGGGGTGATCATTAGTGCAATGATGGTCGGACCTAGATGTACTGATGACGACACAAACTTGCATACCTTTAGGATGACCATAATTGCTATAATGGTCGGCCCTAGAGGTACTGATGAGAACCGTGCATTTACATGACTACCTCGGTCTAGGGGCGACCATAAGTGCAATAATGATCGACCTTGAGGTACTTTTGAGGACACAAACATGCATTACGTCTTTGAACCACCATTATTCCAAGATTAATCAAAGGAGAATTTCTTTTCTGAAAATTTTGTTCGCATATTTTGACGAGGCTCCTTCATCCACGTATAGATATCATATCAAATCGATTTGTCGTTTTCGAGCCTAACTTCAATATCATTATTTTCACAACTATAGGTTTTCCAGCTGAGGTATCAGAGTATATTTCTTAGAAAAAACAAGACTCTAATCAGCAATTCCTCCCAAACAATACATTGCACGTAAAAACACCTGCGTTTGATTGTTTATGGTTACGCTTATATAACGCCATGGGGATTTTTGTTTATTATAACACCTGAACATTTTAATGATCTCAGCCCAACCTTTTCGCTCGGAAACAACATTGCGAGGTCGAAACTGGCCTACGGCTATAGGTTTAATAATGCGGTTGCTAATCAGCCAGCTGATTTGCTAGTTCGAAAGCCCGCCGTACACGAGAGCCACGTGCTGAGCAAAAAAGTCATTCGAGGCAGCACGTAGCTCAGGTTGACCGCACACTGTGAGTGTTTCGCCTCACGAGGCGAACTAATTCAAATAGGCCTATAGGAGATATTTGCCTCACGGCCTCGCGTCGGAGGAGAAAACTTAGCAAAAATGTCACGCACACGGTGAGCAACGTGCTGAGCAAACAGCCCGTGTGCGGCGGGCTTGATGGTAGGACGGAAACAGGTGCATTCTTCCAAATATTGAAAGTTTAATTATGTAGGTCCTATGTGAAGCATTAATGTGATACCAACCATGATTGACGTGTTAAATTAATTGCAATAGCAACTGCAAATGCAGCGAATATTACAGAATGCGGTTATAAAAGGGTTTAATAAAGACCACAATTATCAATCAAAATTGTTCGTTTTTTTTTGGAAGTCAGAAAATCGCTCTACATGGGTTATTTTTATTTCCATATTTGCAGTGTTCACTGCGTGTACAAATGAGTAGCAAGTAAATTAACATGTGAGTCAAAGAATTATGTGAGTCAACAGATATATTGTCTTCATTAACCTTTAGTCGTTCTTTTTGGCAGTAGCGCCCGCTTGAGTTCAAAAACGAAACATAGTGAGCAAAACCGAAACAGTATAGCGTGCTATTCTTGTAAGAAATGACACCGTTTTCAATCGTGAGTGCAATATTCAAGACCCTAGTGATATCTTTGCGTCCACAAGTGATTTTGCGTATGATTTGTCTGCGCTGGGAACGCTGACTGAAAATCATGTTCGCCCTGGCTGGCCGGAATTATATCACTAAAAAACATTACGCATACAAAGAAGCTCTGGTAGATTTTACTGTTCTACATATTGGTTCGTAAATTAAGTTATGTAGTATGTTGCTTCGTTCTTGGTGTATAGGACGGTAGTTTTTTTAATAGTACACCGACTAGACTTGCTATTTTAAAACAATAGATGCGTTTCTCCTAATTACGCAGTCAGCCTGTTTCATTGTAGAAGAGTGATGCACAATAATCCGTAGTGAAGTTTTCCAGGGCAGAAAGAGCAGCGAATACGGTAACTTGCTTGCTGTGAAGGAAGTCAAGACTACTGTGCCAAAAAAGGCACACATTTTGTGCAACTTTCCACTTCTCTTAAATGTATGAAAACTATTTGACATTCCCTTTTGGTGAATTTGATCGAAAGTCCACTTCTTTAAATATTTAAAATTGTCCATGCTTTCCGGACAACTGAGGCCGCTGTTGTTGTGATGTCATTTCGGGAAGACACTGTTCAGTTTAGGGGTTTTCTGTTCAAATTGTGAACCGCAAAATTAGTTCATTGAAAACATTTGTGAGAAAATGTTGCTCATTGGCTTTATTGCCACATATACTGACACAACAAAGAATCACCAAAGAAAAGAAAATTTACAACAATAACATATCCAAAATTCTAGTAACTTGTGGTGCTGAAATAGCTGTAATATTGAGGTTTCTGACAGAAATGACATCACACGTTTGCTCAATTCGCGTTAGTATAAAAAAGGCACCAAACTCCCCTTGAAATGGGCAAAAAGAAAATTGAAAATAACATAAAATGCGACACAAAGGTGCGCATTTTCAAGGTTTGCATTTAAAAAAAATACACTGAGAGTCAATTTTAATCTGGTAAGACCGTGACTTCGCCAGTTTCATTTCAGTTTCCGTCGAAATATCGTGCGACGACAAGACGTCGGCTTTTATTTGGATTGACACGATTTGATTGACATTTCAGTTCGAGGGAAATTCTGAAATTCGATAGGTTCTTATTAATATATCTTTTTCCGAAAATTGCTATGGATGTAGCAATATTCTGCATGTAGTCCTTTCAAAATCTAGGATACGAAATCCCAATTTGTACGCTTTCTTTTAGTACAAGCATGATTCAAATCACTTATGTACTTTTCAAGTTAAGGAATTTTAAACACAACCACTGTTTTAAAGTTCTGTCCACGGATCACAAGAAGGTAAGTGTTCTTTCAGCAAAACGAGAACAAATCACATATAGTCCGTGGGACTAGGCCTTTTTTTTCGATGGCCACGCGGTGTGATGCGCCGAATTTTATAAACTTCACAGACATGTAGATGATGGTGTACCCTATCGAAAAAACTTTGTTCCCCGATCTACAGTTTGTTTGGGAATGAGAAAATCTGGGATAAACACTCCGGAAACTCTGCATGAGAAAAAAGAAAACAGAAACAGCATCCTCTATTGACATAGTCAGAAACCTTCTCTCACGCAATGGCCGTCCGAGTTCGGGCATTCTGTTCTTGACGCGACTATTTTTTTTGAATTGTTCTCGCGCTCGAACGGCGGGAACACGATGTACGAACACTGCACTCGGAACAGGATCTCACACCACCCATCCGTCGGGGTTTGCAAGAATATGATATACCCGTGTCAAGAACAAGACCCGCCCGAACTCGGCCAATGAGTGCTTGCTAGATGATACTTCTTTCATATTATAATCTAGATTTTTGTTATTTCTCATCGGGATGCTAAAATATCTTCTTAACAGTTTTGTACAACATGAAATGATTAAGTTTTAAATTTAAGATCGAATGTTTTATATTAGCTACATAAACATCGATTGGTATGGTCAAACCCCCAGATCAGAATCATTTTACGAACTTTAATAGAAGAGCGTGGCATCTGGTGGAGCATCTGAACTTCTGAAACATCTTTAAAAAAAATTACGCCTGAAAGTAAAAAAATAATAAAAATGCAGCCTCAAAAAAAGGAAGCGGGTGGTCCGTTGGGGTTTATTTGTGGTTTTCACGGAATGGATGGAGCAACAACAAAACATGAATCGATTCTTAAAATAATATTCAAAATAATAAAAGCGGTAAGAAGGTTTCAGCTGAAACCAAATAGTTGCAGTTGTAATGCTGCCTCTCAAAGCTTCCAAATAGGGTAATATATATTAACTTTCTCTTAAAAAGTTTGCAAACAGAAAGTGGGTCCTTCAATTTGATGCGACTTTTGACCTGTTATATACAACAAATATGTAATCGGTCTGTGATGTATACAAGTGCTCATATAGCTCGTTTTGTCAGTTGAAACAAGTAATGCTCATTCAGTACAGATTGAACAAGCTTGTGTCATCTAAATACCATTCTTCTTGTGTGGGTAAAAACTGTGCAGGTTTAAATTGCCCCCCTCCCCACCAAAAAAAAAAATGAAATAAAATTAGATTATATTAAATAAATCACTCTTTGTATTTCTTTTTGGTGATTACTTAAACCACATTGTGCCTGGAATATGTATATAAAAAACCAAAAGCGTATTTGCAGTTATTGCCGTCTTTATTTGTATGAGTCATCTTTTTTATATAAAAGTATAATTAAAAAATCAACCTAAGTACATGTATGAGAACTTGAGATGTG